GAGTTGGCATTTTATTTTATTTAATTTAAAAATAATGATTTTTTTTCCATCCATGTCATCTCGTCTTCCTCTTTCACTTTCTCTCTCTTGTCGCTTCTTCTTCCTCTCCAAATCAAACCCAGATCTGGGTTTTTCTTAAACTCAGATGACTCATTCGATACCACTAAAACGCAACAAAAGAGAAACTAAATCACAGTCTAACAATAAAACCTCCATGTCATCTCTTCTTCCTCTTTCACTTTCTCTCTCTCTTGTCCCTTCCTCTTCCTCTTCCTCTTCCTCTTCAAATCAAACCCAGATCTGGGTTTTTCTCAAACCCAAATGACTCCTCTAACACCATTGAAACGCAACAAAGAGAAACTAAATCACAGTCTAAAAAAACACCTTAAATACATATTCGAATTTCATCAAACCAAGTCAACTCACATGGATGCAAATAAACCAAAAAGAAACAGTACCGAACCACTGGAGACTCGATATGTAGCAAACCAAAACCTAAAATGCCAGGGAAATCAACACAGAAACCAACGAGCACTGGTTTAAAGAGAACCAAAAATTCTAGTTCCAGTTCCATCAAGACAAAGAAAAATAGCAAAATCAGGACCAAAAATCAACCACAAAAGTTTGAAAAAACAGAACAAAAACCATGAGTTCGAAAAAACAGAACAAAAACCACAGGAGTTCAAAAAAACAGAACAAAAATGAAGCTCTCATCAGTGGCTAGCTCGTTGTCCGAGTCTGCAGTGAGCTAGATCCCAACGCATGTTACTGGGCAACGGCGGCCAGATCTCGAAATTCCAGTGTGCAGCTCGGTAGATTTGCGTGAAGGAGCAAGGAGCCGCGGACCTGCAGGCAAGCGGGCAACACACAGAAACAGGAAACAAAGAAGACAAACAAAAAACAAAAACCCAAAAAAGGCACCCAAAAGGCCTAGTCGCCGATAGACCTCATGGGGTCATCAAAGCAGAGAGCAGGCCGGCTCCATCAGGCTTGAGCAACCAGAGAACCTGGCTGCTCAAGCAACAAAATTCGGAAACCCAGCCGGAGTGGACATGTGGGTTGAAAGAACCCAGATCTGGGTTAGCAAGGAAAAGGCCGGCTCCATCAGTCTTGAGCAACGGAGAACCCAGCGGCTCAGCAGCAAAACTCAAAAACCCAGCCAGAGTGGACATGTGGGTTGAAAGAACCCAGATCTGGGTTTGATCAAACCCAGATCTGGAGAGGAAGAAGAAGAGGGGACGAAAGGAGATAAGAAAGAATAAGAAAAGTTAAAAAAAGTCATGTGGGCCCCATTAAAAGGGAAAATTTAAAAGGTGATAACATAACATGTAAAAAATTATGCCACGTGTACAAAAAAAACATGCCATGGTAACAAATTTTCATAGTTGGATTTACACGTCATTAAGATTCAAAAAGTCTAATGATTTTGTGGCATTTAAATGAGCCACCTGTCATTTAACTGACGGAATGACTATTTTGGTACCGAAAATGAAAGTCTGAGGATAATTTTGGTGCTTTTTAAAGCTAAAGGACAATTTTGGTACCAAAGTGAAAAGTTGAGGGACCAAAATGGTACTTAAACCACATATATATATTGCACCTCTTTTTTTTTAAAAAAAAAAAAAAACTTCCTGTCCTTAGACAATGATAAAGTGAAATAACTCAAGTACATGTAAAAAGTGACACATAATATGTCAAATACAATGGAAGAGTGAAAAATGCACTTACATAAGATGGCAGAAGATCGTTGGAACTTATTCTCTAGGTCGAGATAGACCACGGTGTTGGAGGTGAAGTTGCGTAACAAAAATGTGTGATTGCACAAAACCAAAGTTGGCAAGTAATGTGTTGATTGATGAGATAAGATACCGTCGAGCTCACAACCTTGCAAAGAGATACAGCTTCTGCTTATTTTGTAAAACACATAATGGCCACCCATGTCAAAGTACAATCCTTCAGAGTAGGATGAACAGGGCCAGCAAGATCTAGCAAACATGAGGAAGAACATTGATACTCTAATAATAGATGAAATGGTTGCCAAATCTACCAAGCCCCCAAGTGTTAAAGCACTCCATCAAAGCAGCACAAGTACTTATCAAGTGTAAGAATATCACTAGCAAGAAATAGTAGCCATAAAAGATTACTCCATTAGCAAGTCCAAGATAACATAAATGCCAACCATGAAAGAGGAAATACCATCATATAACAGGTATATCAGGACACAAATGCTATTCAAGAGATGATTGAGTGACATTACTAACAAATCTTGATGTGACATGAATACTAGCCATGAAAGCTAATAATGCTGCCAACAAACCAAAGATGGTTGAAATACTGACCATGAAAGATAACAGTACTAGCAAGTCTTCAATGACATTAATACTAGTCTAAGGGGATAATAATGGTAGCAGACCTCAAAAGGCACAAATATTGGCCATGAAAGATAGCATCACTAGCAAACCTCAAAGAGGCACTAATACTAGTCATGAAAGATAATATTGCCAACAAACCTTAAAAAGGCACCAATATTGGCCATGAAAGATAATATCGCTAGCAAACCTCGAAAAAGCACCAATATTGGCCATGAAAAATAATATCACTATCAAGCCTTGAAAAGGGACTAATACTGGCCATGAAAAATAATATTGTGAACAAGCCCTAAATATGCATTGCCAACAAACCTTGAAGAGGCATCCATACTAGTCATGAAAGACAATATCGCTAATAGGCCTCAAAGATGCATTGTCAATAAACCTTGAAGAGGCATCAATACTAGCCATGAAAGATAATATTACCAACAAGCCTTGAAGAGGCACTAATACTAGCCATGAAAAGTGATATCGTGAACAAGCCTTGAAGAAGCACCAATACTAGCCATGAAATATAATATCACCAGCAGGCCTTCAAGATGCACTAATGCTGACTAAGAAAAATAATATTGCGAACAAGCCTCAAAGAAGCACCAATACTAGCCATGAAAGATAACATCAGTAGTAGGCTTCAAAGAGGCACCAATATTGGCCATAATAGATAATATCGCCAATAGATCTTGATAGTATTGGCTATGAAAGATAGTATCACCAACAAGCCTTGAAGAGGCACCAATATTGGCCAAGAAAGATAACATTGCTAGTAGGCCTCGAAGAGGCACCAATACTAGTTATGTAAAAAAAAGTAATACCTTTAACAGGTTTGTGATGATGCAACTCAAGTGCTAACAACACATCTAATGTATAAACATATCTAAAAGATTTAAATGTTGTTTGTGCAAATAGATAATACTGCTAATTGGTTTGAAGCTATGAAACTATAATGTCGACAAAGCAAAATGATAGGCAATCTTGTCTAGCAATGTAAGATAATCAGCCTTACTAGGAGACATAAAGTGCTCAATAGATATTTCCTTATTGGCTTCAAAAGCTAAACATTCTACTTTGTTTTACATAAACAACTAAGGTGTGAGCTATAGCTTTCTTTTTTGTTGACTTTGCTATGGATCTACTAGTGGTGATAGCTTCAATAAAGACAATCATCCTTCTGACAATGTCAAGTAACCTTGTAAATTGCCTTATCCTAATATTTTTAAAAATAATACAATATTTTAGAAGCATATTGCTAATACATATCTCCACTAAGAATGAATCAACATGGGTGCCACAACAGTCAAGTGCTAAGTCTCTGAATGCAAGCACAAGTCTTTATTGTTGGTATGAGCACCTGAGACATCAAGGAAATTGCTAACATGAAGGACTTTCATACTTCTCTAAATGTGGGTTTAATAAGATCACCTTCAAATATGATGGATCATGTACAAATTGAAAAGTAGTTGAGCTTTTTCTGGGGTGCTTCATATCTAAAAGAACAATAAGGTCCACCATAATGACGAAGCTTTGAATAGATTTAGTTGCGTTTACAAGTGCCCTATCAAAGCTGCTAGCTACAAATACTGGCAATGTAAAGTTATATAGCCGCACAACAAAGCCCCCATTACCATCATTGATAACCTTAGTATAAACTCCTTGTGGCTTAGACATCCCAACCATATTGCTAGCTGCCCTAGATCATGCACAATGTTGAGTTTGCAAAAAACAATCATTAAAAGATTCTATTGTAGGTTGTTGTTGTTGAACTTCCTGTCCATCATCATGGCAAGGATCTTGAGTACCATTAGCGTTGTGTGAAGAGCTTTGTCTTGTGATCAACATGGTTAGAAAATTTTGTTGATGATGAATAAATATTGTTAAAGATGAGATTTTGTTGAAGAAGAACAAAGGAAGACAATGCACTAGGACGATGTCTTTAGTGGAGTTGCCATTTTGTTGGGGATAGGGGGTTGATGAGTTAGCAGTGATGATAATGTGGGGGTTGACTAGAATGCTCCCTTACAAGAGATGAGGGTTCTTTTAGCTCGTACCCATTTCATGTACAAAAGGCTACATGCCCTGAGCCATCTCCTTTTATCCCACAAAGATAAGCTGCACAAGATTCTTCAGTAAAGTCTAATAATACTTCCTCAGCTAAGTTAAAAGAGCATAACAGAGTCTTCCCCTTCTCTTCCTCTTTGGTAAAGATAAATTACAAGCTTTCTCTAATGAGTCTAGAAATAAAGCTTCCCCTAGCCAAGCTAGAAGAGCGAGGCCATAACAATGCTCCCAAAATTATGATTACTTATCCACCAAAATGAACTAGTGTTAAGCAATCCAATGCCTCCAATAAAGTCTGAGAGTGAACCTTCTCCAGTTGACCTAAAAGAGCTAGATAGAGGTGATGTCTCCAAATGATGATTATAAAACCATAAAAGAGAGAGAGAGAGAGAG